ATGCTTGAGCCGCCGCTGCCTTATCCGCTTACGCGAAATCCGGCCGGTTGCCGACACTCATGACAGCGGATCGAGCTCGGGTCTTCACTAGCTATAGCTAATAGTAATACCATGGTTCAGTATCGGACAAGCTAAGCTAGCATGCATGCTATTGCAGTATTGCTATATGGATGCAAAGCCGCCGGCCGATTCGATCGATCGAGAAAGCTAGCTAGCCAGCGACTAGCATGCAGGTGCAGCAGATGGACCAGCAGAGACCGGGGACCTACACCTACTATAAAGCGAGCAGCAGGGCACTGACTGATCGATGGAACCACGTACGAAAACGCAGTGGAAGGAATATATTAACTCGGGATAAGAGACGCGTGTGAGGCCCCGTTTAGGCTATGTTTAGGCTGTGTTTAGTGGAGGAAAAGTTGGAATTTGGGTATTATAGCATTTTCGTTTTTATTTGATAAATAGTGTTCAATCATGGACTAATTAGACTTAAAATGTTCGTCTCGCGATTTCCAACCAAACTGTGCAATTAGTTTTTTTTTCGTCTACATTTACTGCGCCATGCACATATCGCAAGATTCGATGTGATGGGTATTGTAGCACTTTTTGGCAGTATTTTTGGAACTGAACACGCGCTTAGTTGGAGGGAAAGTTGGAATTTGGGTACTGTAGCACTTTCGTTTTTATTTGCCAAATAGTGTTCAATCATGGACTAATTAGACTCAAAACGTTCGTCTCGCAATTTTCCATCAAACTGTGTAATTAGTTTTTTTTCATCTACATTTAATGCTCCATGCATGTATCGCAAGATTCGATGTGATGAATACTGTAGCACTTTTTTGGAACTTCTTTTGGAACTAAACACGTGCTTAGATTCAAAAATTTTGGATTTTGGCTACTGTAGCATTTTCGTTTGTATTTGGCAATTAGTGTCTAATTATGGACTAATTAGATTCAAAAGTTTCGTCTCGCGATTTCTCACCCAACTGTGTAATTAATTTTTTTTTCGTCTATATTTAGTACTCCATACATATGCCGTAAGATTCGATGTGGGCCTGAGTCGCCGTCGTCGATCGTCGCCTGGTCGGCCTCTCTGTACGTCTACCTGCAGGAAAGCGCAGCGACCGCGCCGCCGGCTGCCACGTAGGCGTCAGTGCAGTTTTCGGCCCAGCGTCAGAAAAGATGGAGATTAAAGCTCCCCATATCCAGATGCACCACCACCACTGGCACTACGAGTGTCAGTGTGTCACCATATATGGCTTGGCTTGAGCTAGCTATCACGATTACTGGTATTCCACAATCCAGATAGCACTTGTTTGTTAGCGTACGTCCCTAGTGTTATGCTACTAGCCGCTACTGCTAGCTACTACTACGTACTATACTGTTGCCTATGCCTAAGAAGGCTACAAACCGCTTAATCTGGACGCCTGCGCTGCATAGTGGAGCGGCCAATGCAAAGTGCAGGCACACGGCTTGGGAGAAGAAGAAGAAGAAGAAGAGGAAGAAGCGTGTCGACCGCCTTTGCGCAGTTTGCTCGTGTCACTCTCGTGCGCCATGCACTAGCGCTCGCGTGTGCGCGGCCACTATAGTGCACTGCCTAGCCGGCCATTATAGTACTTTTTTGTTGGTTTCACCGAGCTTATCAATCAGTTAATTAATAGTGTTTTTTCTCTCATAACAAACCAGCACCAGTTAGACTTATCAACCCAGAAACCAACCAATGAACAGGCCGAGTATCACACGGCCGGCCGATCGAGGTAGCTAGTTGCACACCGTACCTGCCCCTTTCCCGGCCCCCTCCACATCATATATCCGTGCACGCAGCGCACCGATAGTGCACGATATGATGCACTATCATCGCGGCGCCATCGTCAGGTCAACGGGAGCTAGATGGCTAGAAAGGCGACACGGCACGATCAGAGAGGAACCTGCAACTTGGCACGGTCGTCCATGTGCACAACGAGCACCTCGGTCGATCGATCGGCCATTTGCATGCATGCATGCGCAGTGAACTCGATCGTGATCAACCTGCGCTGCTGTACGATCGAGCCAGTGTAGTACGGAGTAACGTCTAACATGTGTGGCTTGTGTCCGCGCGCGTACGTGTCATATCTACCGCCACAAGCAAGCAAGCAACGTGACAGCGGCCAGATGGATCGTGGTGCTCGTACGCGTCTCTCCGGCCGCAGCTAGTTTCGGTGCGCGCGCGCGGGCGGCGCGGCGTATATATGTCGTGTACAATCTACCGATCCGCCTGTGTATCTGTACCGGTCAGTGGAGGCAGAAATCCATGGCGATGGGTCCGTCGCTGACGCGCCTGCCGTATGCTGTTTGGCATTTGAGTTCAAAAGGCGAGAGATAGATCATGCATCCATCACAAAAGCATCCAAAAAGAAGCCATTTCTCTTGAAGTGTGAGGACTTGGTAGACGTGTTGTTCAACTCGGCCTCATGAGGCTCTCACTCGACACGTACGTATACGCGTATAATAACCACGTGCCTGGGTGATGAACCGGTTTAATTTACCTCTCCGGATCGAATTCGGCAGCGAGACTGACCACAGCGTCGCCTTTTGCCCTTTTCGAGCTTGAACTGCTAATCTACTAGTAGCACCGTAACATCAACTCAATCAATCTCAATTCTCAAATGGAGCAGGAAAGCAAAAGAGCGGTTCAAAAGTGATCAGAGACGACTGTGGTATTACTATATTTTAGTAGTCCTACTTGGAATGCAAATAAGACCGTGGTTATATATTTCATTGTAAACTTGTACAACGAGTGTATATGCCTTTAATCTGCATGGTGCATGTACTGTCATGTTATGCCATGCTACCTAATCCTCCTGAGTTGGCGGTCAACGTACACTCCATTTGTCAAATACTCCATTTTAAATTATAATTCGTTTGACTTTGTTGACTCTAAATTTGACCACTCGTCTTATTTAAAAAAAATTATGCAAACATAGCCAAATTTAAGTCATTTTTAAAGAACTTTTGTTAATAAAGTAGGCCATAATAGAAGAAGTAATATTTAGTATAAATTTTTAAATAAGACGAGTGGTCAAACTTAAAATAAAAAAAATCAAACGAACTATAATTTGGAACGGATTTACGACCAATTATTAAGCCAGCGATCGAGAGCAGAGCACCAGACGAGCAGCGAGCTAGAATAGGCAGGGATTTTTCTCTTGGCTTAGCCCTATTCGCTTGGCTTATAAGCCGTACTTTTTCAGCCAACGAACAGTATTTTTCTCTCACAACTAAATCATCCAACAATACTTTCAACCATGGCTTATCAGCCAAACGAACATACCTCCCTTCCCTTCACTGCTGTTCATGGTCAAACACCACGTAGCTACTAGCTGACAGCACACACAGTGAGCCGAGAACGATCGAAGAGAAGCCAAGAGGGCCTTGCTGACTGCTGAGTCGTTACGTACATGAGATCTCAGCTGCTGCTGCCGGTGGACCGTGTGGTCCGTGGACGTGTAGCATTGCGTTCGGCTGGCTGGCCGGCTTCGGCTGGGCTGCCAGCGCACTCACGAAAACACTGTTTGTATGAATAGTGATGTCAGATAGAATAATATTTTCTCTCACAATAATTAGTCGGAACAGTATTTTGACTTATTTTTCAGTCCTGCCGAACAGATCGTGGTCCCAAGCAACTAGTAGAATATAATAATGCAAGTTGCAGGCGACGGGATCGGAGGCTTATCCGGCCGGCCGGCCTGCGAATTCCAATCCGCACTCACGGCGGGCGGGAGACTCATCAGCGGCGAGGCACCGGTCGACGTGCATGAACAGTAGGTCCACCTGAAGATACCATATACTGGGGAGAAAGCACTTAAAATCTGAAGCTGTACTCGATCGCTGGAACTGGATATGGCGCCGGATTTGCAGTGGGTACAAGGGTTCAGAAAATATGAACTACTGGAAAGGGACTGACACTAGCCTGCTGACTCTGCTGCCTTGCTAGTTTGGTAGCCGTTCAGGTCTCTCAGCAGACGCCTGCCTACGCGTGATTGAGGAGGATCAGCAAAGCTAATTGACCCCGGTAATTCAATGGATATAATCCCAGATTTTCCTCGCAATGTGAAAGCCTTTTCTCTGAAGAAAATTATTCAGAGTTGACATGCACTGGGATTGAAGAAATAAAGGGGCATTTGATATACGTTTGGTTTGGTATGTAAATATAGTGGAGGGCGCTATCAGTGAAACTAGTAAGGTTTGGCAGCTTGATATGTTTCAACAAAAGAGCAACGGGGGCACAGTTGTATTGTACGTACAAGCAAACTGTTTTAAAAACCGTTTCTCTTCTATCGAGTAGTGGCCATGAGGAGAAGCAGCTCTCCTGGCACAACTAACTTTCGTAAATACAAACACGGGTTTATCGATTGTCAACATGCGAAGTATGCAAAAGTTGCTTTACTTCTCTTTGCCTTTTTGGCACTGTTTCGGTGAAACAGCTTGGACACTTTCTATGGAAATCTGTGGTGCCACTGCCACTGTGCTGAAGGGGTTGTGGGCAACTCGAACAAGTTTTCGTTCCAACTTTTTTACGTGCCAAGTGTTGCACAACCATCCGCTCCACCACAGTGCACGCAAATTTTGCTTGGAACTTTGGCTTTCGTACGCTGATTTGCTGTTGACACGTCTTTTGCCTCGGTTTTGAGTGAAACGTGATGCAATTCGTCAGAACACTTTGCGTGTCCCCTGCTGAATACGCATTAGATAAAATTACAAAATATACACTCATGGTCAAACTATACTTTGGGGTTCCTGCAAGAATCGGATAGCTTTTCACAAGGGACTCAAATTACATTTCTTTCCGGCGTCTTCAGAACCTTCTTACATTTCCAGATTACCTACACACCGAGACAAGAATAACTGAAAGGGAGGAAACGAACTGAACAGAACATGCTTTTGCCATGCCTTCCCTCGAAGGAAAATAAGTATGATGAACTGCCATCACATATCTCAAATCCGGTGCACTTCGTCAACTGCCTCTATTCATCTGTGGGTTCAGAATCCTCTGAAGGTGCATCCGACGACAATGGTCCTAAGATGCCCTCTGAACTGAGGGTCAATCCACTCTGTGAAGAGGTACAGCAGGACGATGGTTCGATTAGCTCAGCCACATGATTCATGATTCACACATAGTACAGTTGAATTTAGATGAAATGTGATTTGACACGGTAGATTAACAAGGGGAGTTTGCAATACCTCTGGCTGGAATCTCAACATGTCAGCACGAGCCATTGCCTCTGCTTGAGCTATTCGCTGCCTGAATATCTGAGCCATCTCATCAGCCTGATTTGAGCAGAAGCAAAAATATGTCAGTTTGTCACCTAAAATATATTCAGCACAAGAGAAAATGTTGTTTTTGTTTATTCTTGCCTTCTCAAAGACAAGCTTGGGATTACGGATCATGTCACCAGGTGTTGGCTCAAGCTTCTTTGTAGAAAGGCTGACTCGGCCTCTTTCACGGTCATGGCTCAGTATCATAACCTATAAGCGACAGAATGCATTAGTGTTAGCTCTGTTAAGTATGGATATGGCATAACAACCAAGAACCACAGCCACAATACCTTGAGGGTATCTCCTGGTTGCAGAACTGTTGAGATATCTGCAACACGGTCATGACTAATCTGGCTGACATGGAGAAGGCCATTTATTCCACCGATATCAATGAAGGCACCATAAGGTTTTAGGCTCTCAACGGTTCCCAAGACAACTGAGCCAATACCAAGCTGGGCCTGACTATCTGCCATTGCCTTGCGATTACTGAGGACAAGCCTGCCTTGTTCCTCATCAACCTCTACATACTTTAGAGGCAATTCTTTGTCAAGCAACTCTTCAGCAGTTGTTTTCTGATCAAGATCAAACAAAATGTTATCAAATAAGGAATTGTAAAGCTCACCCAGCACGAAGCATCAAACATAAACTATGGTAGGTACATGAAAGGCACCTCATGCTTGGCAATTAAACATAGAATATAAGAAACTTCTGTGAAAAGGTCAAGAACCAACCGATGACACTTGTGAAAATGGAACGAATCCCTTAAGCCCTTCCACAAGAGCTACTACACCTCCTTTGTTTCCACCAATTACCTGTGAGCAAAATTGAATAAGGTTGAAGAAACTAAGATAACCCAGAAAGGCTGAACAATGTCATCAAGGTAGTCCCAACAGAGACCAGCCATATATAAAAGTTATACCAACACTATAGACAAATAGACAACACAGGAGCAAAGATAAATAATTGAAGACAGATAACATGTTATCATAAACTGACTGATCCTAACTTCATAAGTTCAATAATTGTAGCACATTGAAAGTACAAAAAGGAAATGCGATTTATGGGAACTTGGGAAGTTATCACATGAACTATGACTACTAATTTGTCTACAATTGATAAGCAAGCAATGTGAAGTTAATATGAAAACAATGGAATCATAACTGACTGTATATTCAAAATTAATATGCACCGCAAGATATGTAACTGCAGTGGAATATAGTGCCTCCGAAATATAGGCCCTTTTAGTTTGGTCCTAAGTCAAACTTCTCTAACTTTGATCAAATTTATAGAAAAATGCTATAACATCTACAACAACAAAAGCAACTAATTTCATAAACCACTATGAAATATGTCTATAGAGGATTAATTTGGTCTTGTAGATGTTAATACGTTTTTATATAAATTGGTCAGTTTAGAGAAGTTTGACTTAGGACAAAAAATAAAACTACCTACATTTTGAAACACAGGGAGTTTTTTTCCCCTAAGGAACAATAGCTGCTGTTGTCAAGTAGACATTAAAAAGAGTAAAATCTTATCTGTTCAAGTTTAACACAAACAAGGGGAAACAGAACGCGATACTTAATAGATAATCCAGTTCTCAACAAGTCAGCAACAACAGCAAGTTTTTTAAGGACCATCAAAGGGAAATAGTATCTGTACAATTTCAATTTGTACTCACTTTACCCGTGACGACGACATCTTCGGCCTGTAGTTGCCGGCACCTTTCCCATGCAAGTTCTTGCTGAATTGCTTGCAAACTCAGAATCAAAGTTTCGTCACCAGGGTTCTCATCAATTATCATGAATTCTTCTACTAACCCAGGGCGAATGCCTGCCTCTTCAACATTATCGATATCAAGAAGGCATGCCTCATCTAAGGGCAAAAAAGCAGTAGACTTCGATTGGATGTCGATATATGCACCATTTGAGGTAGTCATAAATACTGTTCCTTTAATCTGTAGATGACACAAGCATATAGAAATCTTTTAGATGCTAAGATTATGAAAATAGTGAAGCAAAATAAGATCTTATGTTGAAATGTGACCAGACCTAACGCCCTACAATGAATCAAGGTGCAAGAGCAAATAGTAGCAACAATAATACATCGAGAACGGTTGCTGCAGAACCACAAGTCCATAATGCCAGATGAAAAATTCAGGGACTAATGCAAAGCCAGTGATGCCCAAACTATGATTACGTACGGCATTTAACTTTGTAATATATAATAGTTGGATGACCCATTTTTAAAATATTGACTTTATTATCATAAGAGGGGTATGGATAATTCAGTGATGCATCTATATGAAATGAAGTTTAGGGAAAACCAACAGCAAAATCAGTTACGGAATACCATTTTTTTCTCAAACGCGAAGGAGAGCGATGTATCATTATGTGAAGAAGAAGAAGAAGAAGAAGAAGAAGAAGAAAGGTATAAGAAATCCATACAACAGCCACACACGTCCCAGAAAAATATATCATTACATTGGCGCTTTAGACTAAGACAAAAACAACCTTGACCTGGACCTGATACACTATATATTAGCCTTGGACCATTCAGGAGAGAGAACCCCTTATAACCCCCACCAAGCTCCAAAATTTGAGCTTGTCGCTGACCAGAGACAAAATGCCAGCAAGGTTGGGCATTCCACCATCAAAGACGCATTGATTCAGGTGGTTCCACAGAGATCGGGCCCCTAGAATAATAATGGAATTCAGACCTTGGAGCATAGTCACACTACAGGGGCAGCAGCCCCCAAGTTTCCTCCAGAAGCTGACCAGGTTTAAGAGATAATTCTATGAGACATTATGTTAGTTTGTTTACTTAGGCATTAAGTTGTAGTTCAAATTAGTTCTACTTTAGGTTCTATTAGACATTGTGTTTGGGTCTACCTTATGTAAAGATAAATCAGTTTGACAAGGGAATGAGACAATTAAGAAACTACTAGTTAGCAATACATCAGTAAATCCATTCCTCTCTGCTGCCACATCAAACATGATAAATAGACTGGTGAGGTCTGGGCCCAGGACCTCACATCACCCACTACCATTAGCTTCAATGTTCTAAGGTAGCTTAGGGAGTGGAGGCTTGGCAAGTTAATCCGAGTTGTTCTTTACAGTTAAGTCTAACTGATTCTACAAGTTCACGTTTGGTCTTTGCTTCTTTGGTATAAGAATAATACTGGACTATTTTTTGCTTTAAAAAAATTGACCAACAACTGAACTAAGGAGCAGTTATTACTGACTAGTGAGTAGTGATATGTTATCCCAGTATGCTCCAACCAAGTACCACTAGGAACAGGTTGAGGGGAAAACCTGACACGACAGCATTTGCCCACACCAAAAACCATAATTCATTACAGGAATAATGAGAAACATAGCATTATCCAAGTAAGTTCACCAAAAACCATAATTCATTACAGGAATAGTGAGAAACATAGCATTATCCAAGTAAGTTGAAATTCAACTTCGAAGACCAGCGATATTCTTACATTCCCTGCATTAAGTACCAGATCACATTCTGGGAGACTATAAACTAAAATATATGGCAAAGCGTTATAAAACACCATCTAATTTCGAAGGATGAACAGCTTCCTATCCGCTCCACTTGCTACTATGGACTCCCACACCAAAAGAACAAGTAATGACAATAGAATAGGGGGGAAGCGAGGGATTACGAGCGAGCCGATCTCGGTGTCTATGTCGGTGGACTCGACCGCGGTGTCGAGGTCGTCGGGGGAGAAGGCGACGCCATCCATGGGCGCGGTGCGGCAGCGCTCGGAGGCGTCATCGAACAGCTGGCGCATCCGCTCCCGCTCCCGCTCGTCCTTGGTCAGCGCGTAGGTCCCGCAAACCAGCGCTGACGGAGGCCGCCTCTGCGCCGCGGGGCGACGGCGCGACGCGCCGGATAGAGGGGGGCACGGGAGGCCCGCGACGTGCTGCGCCAGGGACGCCATCCTTCTCTCGCTTCTCTTCGGTGCGTTCGAGGGAGGAGGAAACGGGGATGGCAGTGTGTGTTGTGTTATCCGGTGTGGGGTTTAGGATAGGGAGGCGGAGACGGTTGGCTGGTTTTGGCCTTTTGGGCCAGGCCAGATCAGAAACGCTTCGCGGGCTTCGGCGTGTCGGGCTATGTTTCGTCACAAAACTGGTCAATTACACGCTTTCGAAAGGAAGCGGCGAAACTATTTTGAGTGCATTTATTCAACCATGATGATAAAATAAAATGTGATGCTCTACATGCCATCTTATGCATCTCCTTATTTTCTTATGGAATAAAGCTTACTCTCTCTTAGAAAACTGGATCGTCCCAACAGCAGTTTTCAGCTCATGCATATATTCGAGAAAAAAACATTGTTACAAACCTAATTACTTGCTTCACTCGATAGGAATACAATAGTCAACTAGTTAGGATGTCTCCAAATAGAGTACCTGTATAGAAGACTCATTTTACGTGTTATGAGAGACATAACCTAAATCTAACTATCCTCTCTTTTGAAGATCCATTTACAGAAAGAGTTGTCTTTTGAGTCTTGTTATTGGAAGAAAACAAAAAATACGTATTGAATCATTTAACTGTAGTGCTACGAAAAAAAGAATGAATTTTATATTTTTGGTCACGGTCGTTGGTATAACGAGATTGGTAGATGGGAGAAATTCGAGAGCTCGCCTCGAGCCAAGCTCGCCGCCGCCGGGTTTTCTGTCCGGTCGTTCGACGCCCGCTCTCGATGCAACTCGCTGCCCTTTTGTAGATGCTGCTTGGTACTTGTGGCCCATGGCCCATGTCCAACCCGTTTGGTTACTGATTCCTAATAAACATGTTCATCCAACAATTTATAACATTATCTGTTAAAACCAGAGGTGGAACCAGGGGGGCAGTAGGGAACGTGCCCCCCCCCCCCAACACAATGAAACTTTGTTAAATATCATTCTAAAGTTTATTAATTTACAGCAAAAAAATGCGACAAATCTTCTATTTTTAATCATAATATTGTGTCATCATATTTGTCCGGCTACTCTTAATCAAAATTACTGCTTCCACCTCCAGTTAAAACAAATAGTTAATTCGGTAATTTCTATCTTGGAAACTTCAAAGCTAGCGAATTTCGAGGCAATCAAATAGGAGCAACATTATTTCTTTTGCTTTCTTATGGATGGGAGGGTGTCAGCCCGTTCCATTAGGCAGGCCACAGGCCTCGTTACCACGAACACATTGAACCACAAACTGGGCTATCGAGTCCCACTTTCGTATGAAAAGGCCCACTTTTCTTTTCTCAGCTTAAATCAACTTCGGGACAAAAACCAGCCCGACATTATTAGTGGGTAAATCCCGATCGCGAAAAAAAAAACATTATTAGCGGGTGGGCTCGGGCCTTGGCTGTTTCCACCACGGCTTTACCTGATAGGAGCATCTTGATCGCTGTCCGTAGAAACGTGGTATCTCCAAGCAGGTAACGTCAATGAATAACAGTGACGGCAGTTCATCGATTGTTGTCGTCGACGAAAAACACCGCAAGCCCGGAGTAATAATAACCATAACCAAAAGTAAAAAAAACGCAGGCCGCAGGGAACGTGGGGTGAGGTGAACGAATGGTTCGCTGCCGTGCGCGCCAGAGTGCCGCGCGGCGCGCAGCTACAAATTCCCTGGTGGCTCTCTTGCTTGACCGTTCCGTTAGCTGTGCTAGCTGCCGTGTCCCGACCGACCGACCGACCGCGCGTACCGGCACGGGTTCAAACCGTCCATGCAACCACCAGTTATAACTACCCGGAATTCGCCACGGAGAGCGACGCGAAAGGCCCCACAAACCGGCCATCGACGCGGCACATTGCGTTCCGCCAGTCCGGGCGGGCCTCCCGCGACCGACGCGCGACGCCGACCATTCGCCAAGGTGTCCGCCCCCACGTCGAGCAGCGCGCGTATCGGTGCCCGGTCCGCCCGTCGGCCGCGCGAACGCGGCACGCCTGTGTCGATCTCGATCCGTCGTGCGGGTCACCCACCGGCCACCGCCGAGCGGGAGAACTGGGAAAGGGACTGGCGTAATGGCGTTATCCAGATAAGACTGCGCGGCGTTTGCGTCGTTGCGACTTGCGCGCGGTGGCGGTGCACCGGGCTGACGGGCGTTCAGAAGTCGATACATACGGCATGCCACCGATCGAGGTGACTGGCGCTTATTGGCTAGTTTGAGATATAGCGCCACTGAACTGCCATTTATCCATTCCCTGCTGACGACTGCATCGAAAGCTCGCGAGACCTATGCAAGTTATTGGCTGACCGTTGAACGCCTTGAATTGATGTGCCGGTTAGTTTATAGTACAACACACCTCATCCATTAGGAAAGGACGACCATACCATACGTGCTTGCATGCTGACAGCCGGTCCAGCAGTATCCGAATAATTAAACTATAGACACGCTGCTTGTGAGCATGGTGTAATTTTTAAGCGCAGCGGCTATTCGTAAATAAATAAACTCCCCGGAGGTCGAAGGCGGCATAGAAAGAGAGGGCTATTAGTACATTGTATAATGTGAATATTTATTAATTTAAAACAAAAAGGTTGCTCTCCACGTCCCAAAAATATAAAACTCACTTTTTGCTAAGTTAATTAATCTTAAATTTAACTAATTCTATATAAAATGTACTAATATCTATAATACACAATAATCATTAGACTAATCTAGAACAAATTCTTATAATAAACATATTAGGATATATGTATCATACTATAAATAAATCTAACTAAAGTTGAAATCGGTTGATTCCTAAAAAGCAAAATTTAAATTCTTTTTTAACCGAAGAATAAAGTGATTTGGCAAGACGTACACGAGTCCACAGCCCCTTTGAAGGAACGAGAAAGGCGATCAAAGGGGTGAATGAAAGCCAATCAAAATTTCTTTCAAAATAGCCGTTGTCCCAAACCCTCTAAAATACCAAATCTCATAAGTGAGATACCCTCGAGCCAACTAGTGACTGGCACAAAGCAATATCACCTAAACCAACTAGTGGTTTGATGGCTCGAAAAACTTTCTAGGCAACTCAGAAACCCTACAGAAGAAATGGATCAAAGAACGGACACTCGGAGCACCAAAACACACCAAAATAGCAATCTTCACTGGAAATCGGCTGGGCCGGTTTTGCAACACGGCTAAGCCGACTTTGCAACACGGCTAGGCCGCCTCTACGACACGGCCAGGCCGACTCTGTAACATAACCCAGCCATTCCGACTTTGCAACACACGGCTAGGCCGGCTCTACAGTTTCTGCAGTTTGAATTTTTCCTCCAAAAGTCAAATTCAAAGAAAATCAATTCGGAACGACTTCAAACTTGCCACAGAGGTAGAAGAGAAACCCAGGAAGGTGTTCCCGGAAGATCAACTCCAAAAACCATGGGAAACACTGAGGATCTCGATTCTTCCAAACCAGATTGGGGTTTTCAAAACTTTGCTCAAAATCCCACAACATCGTGCTCGAGAAGAATCCGATCAAAATACTTGGTAGATATCTTTCTCTAAGGTTCTTGCATGTTTCTATCCATCCCAATTGGTCTCTGTCAGCACAAAAACGTGTCAATCGTGCTTGAGGCACACGAGCAAGCCGGATGGGTCTACTCGATGGAGCTGGAGATCCGCCTGGCTTCAACGCAGGGATAATCGATTCTGCGTACTCCTTCCGAGACGTGCCAGTTAATTTGACCCTCCAATTGACAATGAGAGAAAGTTTATCAGCAATTTAAGGCGGAACATGCCGGTCTGATGCCTAGACAGTTCCAAGTGTGCCGCTTCGGGAGCAGCCATACGGGAAAAGCGACTAAATAGCCGATCCTCACAGAAATCGGCTGTTACGGACTGTAAAGCTCATAGGTAGCGATTGATTTTAAGTTGACAGGTACAGTACACACATATATAAATGAGAACATCAGCTAGGCGGATATTACCAGTGTAAAACATTGAGCCGATGAATCTAACCAGAAAAAAATATAGCATGCGAACGAACCGATTATTTGATACGAACGGATCTACAAACGCTCTGAATCTAATCTGTTACCACCAACAGTGAGGTTCGACCGGATCGATGGCAACTATGATGATAGTAACAAACGAAAACCAAAGAATCCGTAAAAATATCCGTACTTCGACAGGCTTTTCGAAAGACATGCTATACGTGAAGGCTCGGATGATAGCCGATTCAGGTGAAAAGGACTACAGCGTGTGAACAATCGACTATTTCACATGAACAAACCTATGGACTTCTCAGACTCAACCTGCTATCTCTATCATTGGGGTTCGACCGGATCAATGCAGCCGTGAAAAAGACAATGCATCAAACCCTTAAAGCACACAGATCTATTCACGCTTAACAGAATCATGGACGCACACCATAGACGTTAACGCATAGGCGATCGACTATTTAGCCGATACAGGCATAGTAAACAGTTAAGATCACGCCTAACCAGGTACAAATCTACTAGCTAACGTCTTCCAATCTACAGTCCCATCAGTGTGAATCGACCGGATCGTTACAACTATAATGGTGAACCATAAATCAGATTCAACTAGCATACAAACCCCTTCAAGATTATTCATGCCTTAACCGCGTACTATGCACGATCAAGATCAAAATAAAAATAGCCGATGATGCATAATCCGTCGTTCAGAGTAAGAAACATCGTGACGTGGTAAAGTGAACGACGGACTGAAAATATATAAGGCCGATCTAATTCGATCTTGACCGGGTGAATTAATGTTGCTGCAAACTAATGACGATAAAAACATCAGCAAGATCGGTAACTTAATAAATCTACCCAAAGGACGCCACCCTTAGATAGAGCCGATAACTTGACCTTGATCTAGTTCGAGCAGTGGAGGTCGACCGGATCGATGCAGCCGTACTTAAACTAGACAAGAGTCGATAACTAGCTTATACCAGTCGCACAGTGGAGGTTGACCGGATTGATGCAGTCGTA